AACACATTCTGTATTCTCTTTTTTAGCTACACATTTTCTCGCCCTATTGGGGAACATGCAGTGTAGGTCTCCCAAATCCATAAGTCTCCTTTAGAAACATTATTTTGTTTCATTTAGAGACAAATAAGAATAAAGAGGTTCTTATCCAACATTAATCCTAACTTACTTTTAATATTCATCTATGTGCATTATTGCGGTGAAATAATAGATATTGCATATTTTAAGATGGAAAATGTCTAGCTCCTAACTAAAAGCCAATTATAATGAGAAAATTCACAATATATTATTAGCTTGATGCATTTATATGCAAAAATATACAAAATAAATCATCCCAACACTCAAATGGAAATTATGTTCTCATAAAATAATTATATTAAATAATTAAAATTTAGAGCATGCTTTGTCAACATGTAATTGTAGATCGGAGTCACCATTTAAATTTGCCTAGCCAACATTTTTATTTAAAATACACTAATGATATGAAGGTTAAAAGACTAAAAATATATTTTATTTAACTTATAGGACTAAAATGAAACTTGATATAAATTTATATAAGCAAATGTATACTTTATTCAATTTAAAATTACAGTCTATTTTATCTCCTAAATTAATAATATTTTCACCAAATAATTCTTATCGACTGTCCAAATCTAAGAGATTTAATGAATACACATTTTTATAATAATTAATTTAACTAATATCTCTTAACTTTTGTAAATTATTTATCTAACTTATCTATTTCGTACATTTATAACTCCAAAGAGTAACAAAGAAAAATTTTGAATTTTAAAATCAACAATCAAGGACTAAGATCTTTTGTTGATCTTAAAACAAAATACCAAAGAAAATCTAACAATTTTTTTAATTAAATCTTCACAATTGTTGTTAGTTTAGTTATAAATAATAGAAATTAAGTGATAAATTATTAAGTTAAGGTGCATCCAATATTTTGAAGTATTTTGTCAGGTGCGCTCAGTACCTTAAAATATTTTTTGGTGCTTCCTATACAATAAAGTATTTTTTCAAATGTATCCAATATCTTAAAGTATTTTATGGTCCACCTACCATCTTGAAATATTTTTTTCATGTTTGTCTAACACCCTAAAAAAAATACTAAAAAATAATTTGTGGCGCTTGATGCACATTCATTTATGGGCAGTTTGCTAATAATGAAATTAAAACAACTCATAAAATAATACTTTAAAAGCACTATTGCTTTTAAAAGATTAATACTTTAAGAGTAAAATTATGCCATAATATATTTTGGGGTGCTAGATGCGTTTGAAAAAAAATACTTTAGGTTATTGGGCACATCACAAAATACTTTAAAGTACTAGGCATACCTAATAAAATACTTTGAGGTGCTGAATGCACCTTAACTAGAAATTATTTTAACTACGTTTTTTGATTGTACAGTCGAATTGTAGTGCTAGATAATTTATAGAGAAAATTTGAAGAAAGACCTAGAAAAACTTACATTTATTAGAAAGGATCTTAAAGATTACAATTATTTAAAAGGATTAAATATTAAACTGTTATAAATAAAGAAGAAATAGAGAAAAATAATAGAGAAGAAGAGAGGATCAACAAAAGAGAATATTTCTCATTCCATTCAAGAGTTACTAAATACATAATACATGGCCTCTATTTATAGGCACAGCTTTACATCTTTAATAGAATCTACAGATTACATAATAATATGAGATAATTGTGAGATATAAGAATATCCACAAAGATATTATTCTATTCATAACAATTCCCCTTGGATGTCCAGTATATATAAATATGCCTCATTAAAAAACTTCAACTAGGAAAAACCTTGTGCGAGAAAAACCTAGCAAAAGAAAAAGAATACATCATTCATTAATACACTGTGCAATGCTACCTCATTAAAAACCTTGCTAGAAAAACCTAATGGGACAAAACCATAGGCTAGAAAAACCCAATGGGACAAAACCATAGTCAAGGAGAAAAGAGCACAGTGTGTATCAACTCCCCCTCTTAGCAACATTAGTTGATATCTTCAAGCCTGCAAAGTATAATATAACGAAGAAGCCTCCCAAATATTGTAGTGAGATAAAAATATCAAATATTAATTTCATAATCTTTTGAAAATCATAAGACAAATAGTCCCTTTGCAGTTTACACACATATGAATCATACTATGATCTTTTGATATAAGGATCAAAAAAGAATATTTTATCTATATAGCTAGTAAGAGTAGTCTTGGGTGTCACATCTGTCACATCCTGAATTTTGGGCCTAGAAATACCAGAATTAGCTTGAAATGAGTAGACTACCACACCCTTTTTGGCAGAGGTCCTAGAGGTTCCCTGGAGGGACAGAGGGATTCTCAGGGACTAAATTGCAAAAAAAAAGTTTTCTGGGAGTGAGAAAAGAGGAAGTTAGAGACTCAGAAGAAGTCTCAAGACCCCAAAATGAGAAATGGATATAAATGTAGGCTAAAGATTATGTTGGAAGCCTCAATGAGGTGAATTTTGAAGTTAAGCCAAACCAGGGTAAAATCGTAATTTTACAAAGTTTTGGGCTGGTAAAGGCAAAAATAAAAATTATGCCCGAAAATCCCAGAAAAATCCCAGAAAATGAGAAATGGTATGTTAAGGGCTAGAATTTAATCCGTGAACAGTAACCCAAGAACCTAGTGCAATTTTCAATCTATGGGCTTGTTTTGTGAATTGCTTGAACCATAACGCTTCCAAACATGTATAAACTCCTCCCCTCAACACATAAAGAGCTTAATATATAACCCACTACTATGGTAGAAAAGGAAAACTGTTATACAAGCTACCATAGTAGAAAAGAAAACTTGTAAACCATTTTCAAAACTGACAATTAAAGTGTGGGTAGAAACCCAAACAAGTTGCATGCAACCAAAGATCTTTCATACAATCAATCACCAAGTTCATTCAATTAGGCTTTCGGGCCTTAGGCTCGGGTAAACAGAAAATTACACAAAAGCCCATCCAACTGTCTACATGGACATAAATTCAGAATTTTATACAACAACAAGAATAAAAATAAGGAGACGACACTTTCACCAGTTTACAATAAGGCCATGCAATCAAAATATTTCAAAAAGACCCTAAATGTGGCAATATACACTGGTCATACATATACCATAGGCTAGAGGCATTATAGCTTAACCAAGCTCAAGCCTCCGTGTCCCTTCCCGAAGACGTACGCCTAGAACCTTCACCTGAAAACATTATAACTAGGGGGTGAGACAGAATCCCAATAACCAACATTCCAATATAGAGTACAGACGAATAGGTGCTCATGAGGTGTCAAGTGGGGAAAGTTACATGTAAAACTGTAAGTGATAGCCACAAAGAACCATGCAAGTGTAATGATGCAACCTATCAACATATCCCTCATTTTGGGGGATTTCAAAGAGGCAAACCCGACCTATCCCTCACTATGGGGGACGTAAGGAGCCACAAGAGCCTATCCCTCACTCTGGGAGACGTAAAGAGCCAACTATCATGCATTAATAGAGGCCTTACCACGTGGTAAGAACAATGCAATCTCTCACCAATCCCAACACATGCATCATGCTCAACATCTTTACTGAAGAATAAATATACCATTCCATAAGTAATTTCAATCAGTGACATATCTTTAAGATAATTCCCAATGCATTCAGTATTGTACAACAACCCCACAAGACAACTCTCCTTTTTTTATATACAAAAATACATTTAGAACACCAGTTATTACTCGACGCACAAAACATAAATCCGCTCACAGTATCATAACAGCATGTACAAAGGATTGGAAAGTGGTTACCTCTCGCCTGAGCAAGGAATAACAAAAACACCACGATGCCCCGTGCACCAATAAATACTCACAATAGGTCTACACAAGCACATAAACACACAACCACCACATATTAGCTTTCAAACTAATAAAATGGTCAACACAACACTTGGAGACTCAAAATTCTTAACCTCAACCAAAACTCTACCCAACTCAAAAGGGTCAAAATCATCACGATAACACTCTAAAACCACAAGAGACCATTAATACTCTAGCTTCCTTTCCAAAACCTTAATTGAATTCAGAAACTCAAATCCCACTCTAGAAATTCATCACCCAAACATCCAATTAGAACAAAATCAAGTCCTACTAACATTCTAAACTGATTAAACATCCAATTTAACCTTCCTTAACATAACCCAATTCACAAAAACTCAATTTCAACCACTATATTATCATCCTCAATCATAAACCTCCATTTCACAAACCCGAAATTCCCAAAACTTCCAAATCTCCAAATTCAAGAAAACCACACCGATTAACTACTTAAACTAGTCCATAACAATCATTTAAACTCAAAACAATCGGTCAAAAACCTCAATTCCATCAGAAAATAGAAAACTCTAGGGTTTTACCATAAATCCTCAAAAATTCCAAGAAAGAAAGTAGATTAGAGGTTAGATTTACTTACTTGAGGTATTGGACCCTTAGAAACACCTTCTCCAAGCCAAAACACCAAAACCCTAGCAGAACCTCTCTCTCTTCCTTCAGATTTTCTAATTTTTGCATATCAAACCCCTCCTCCAGATTTAAAGATGTGACCTTTTCGTCATGGCGAACCCAGTAATTGGTCGCGACTAACTAATTCTGATAGGGATTTTCTAACTGAGACCCAAGTTCATCGTAGCCAAAGGACCATTTCGTTGCGGCGATAACTTTTTCTCAGGAGGAACTCTTGCTCACCTGACACCTTTCGTCGCGACTCTCCCTTAACTTAGTCGTGAAAGGAAGCTCTCCCAATACTCTCTGCTCCTCCAACTCACTTTGATCCCAAACTAGACACCAAGATTCAAGTTTAAACACCAATTATCCTATAAAAAAAAAGCAGGGTTAAAGGGCTATTAAAACTCAAGACGTTACAAATCTCCCTAACTAAGGAATTTTGTCCCTAAAATTCAAGCAATCACATAACGCGCAACACACAAACAACCACAAAACACTTACTAAGAAAACAAAAGAGGGTACTCGTGCTGCATCTGTTCTTCCATCTCCCAGGTGGCATCGCCCGAATTCATGCCCTTCCAAAACACCTTCACCAACTGAATGGTTTTATTTCTCAACTGTTCATCCTTTACATCAAGAACTCTTTCCGATTCCGCCTTGTACGTCAGATTATCATGCAGCTCCACCTCCTCAGGTTCTAGGATGTGAGACGGATCAGGATGGTATTTCTTGAGTTGGGACACATGGAACATATCATGAACATTGGATAAGTGCGGTGGTAAGGCAATCCGATAAGCTACTTCTGCAATTTTCTCTAAAATCTCAAAGGGACCAAGAAATCTAGGAGATAACTTCTTTGCTTTAATGGACCTCCCAACGCCAGTAGTCGGCGTGACCCTAAAAAACACATGGTTACCCTCACAAAATTCCAACAGTCTCCTTCTCTTATCGGTATAAGTCTTTTACCGACTCTTAGCTGTCAGTAACTTCTGTTTGATGACCTTAATCTTCTCCGTGGTGGCATCTACCAAGTCTGGTCCTAAAACCATTCTTTCACTCAGTTCCGTCCAGCAGAGGGGTGATCAACACTTCCGATCATAGAGTGCTTTATAAGGGGCCATTTGGATGCTGGCATGGTAGCTGTTGTTGTAGGCAAACTTAGCAAAAGGTAGGTGATTAATCCAACTCCCCTTGAATTCAATGGCACAAGCCCTTAACATATCCTCCAGTGTCTGAATTGTTTGCTCGATCTGTCCATCGGTCTACGGGTGATATGCTGTACTGAACTTCAACTTAGTACCCAAAGCCGCATTTACTGCTTTCCAAAAGTTAGAAGTAAAATGCGGATCTCGATCCAAAACTATACTTGACGGAACACTATGAAGCCGAACGATTTCATCCATGTACAACTTGGCCATTCTTTCCAAGGTATAATTGACCTTATATGGTAGAAAGTGAGCAGATTTCATCAATCTATCCACCACCACCCATATAGCATCATAACCTTTGGGTGTCCTTGGTAAACCCACTATGAAATCCATAGAGATACTGTCCTATTTCCATTGAGGGATTTCTAACACTTGCAATAAATCTCTAGGACTTTGATGCTCTATCTTGACTTTCTAACAAGTCAAACATCGAAGTACAAAGTCAGTCACTTCCTTCTTCATGTTAGGCCACCAGTACTGCTGCTTCAAGTCATGGTACATCTTGGTGGCACCAGGGTAGATGGCATAACGGCTGCAGTGAGCCTCCTCTAGGATAGTTCTCTTAATCTCCTCATCATGGGGAACACAAATCCGGTTCTTATACTTTAGGATGCCCATATCTTTAAACTCATAGTCCTACACTGGGCCATTCTCCAATTCAACCCAAATCCTTGCTAGTTGATCATCCTCCTACTGAGATACTCATAAGTCTTGATAGAATTCATAATCTCCGAGCACTGCACATAGAGCAGCCTACCCTGACGGCACCATTGGAATCTCCAATAATTCCTCGAGTAAGAATTGTTCCTTTAAACTCATACAGAACACATGCACTGCCTTTCTGCTCAAAGCCTCAGCTACTACATTGGCCTTTCCAAGATAGTAATTAATCTCAAAATCATAGTCCTTCAGGAACTCCATCCAAAGGCATTGCCAGTTGTTCAACTCTTTCTGATTCACCAAGTATTTCAAACTTTTATGGTTACTGAAGACCTCGAACTAGGAATCATATAGATAATGCCTCCAGATCTTTAGTGCAAAAACTACTGCCGCTAGCTCTAAGTCATGGGTTGGGTAGTTTTCTTCATGTGGCCTCAACTGCCTGGAATCGTAAGCCACTACCTTATTGTTTTGCATGAGCACACATCCCAAACCCTTTACTGAAAGGGATCGGTTTCTCTCCACTTCCTTCCTGTTCACTTCCAGTTCACTACCTTCGACGACGTCGTTTTACACTAAAAATCTTAACCGTCCATTTCCTCACTCCATCTTAATCGTTCAGTGGGTTTAATGTTTAATATCACCAGCTTCCGTTTCTCTTCCATGAGCAGTGCGGGAAAGTCGAAGTTATTGGGGGCAAAAGGTTTCGACGCAGAGTTCTAGGAAGGAATGGATGGTGAATATTAAAAATTGGTGAGTAAACAATTTTTACAAAATACCAACAGTTGATTTCAGTTTCTGCAACTCTTTCTTGAGCTCCATTACCTTGCATTTGACGCCATGGATCATGAAAGGAGCAGAGCATACTGGTGGGAAAATGAACCAATTTATATTATGTCTATTAATAAATTATTTCTGATTTCATTTATGTTTTTGTGAGGCAGCATGTATATATTCACGCACAATGTTCTATGGGTCATGAGGCAACATGTGTATGTGGTCTTTATATATTCATGCATATTGTTTATTTCAACAAGGATTTCATTCACTCCTTGCAAATGTATAAACATGTTGTTTATTTTATTCTAACTATTTGCAGGAAAATTCATTTGTTATTAAAATGTAATAAATAAAATAATTTTGTAGATGGAAGTGAAATAAAGTTTAGATAATACTTTAGGAAAAAAATCATTTCTGACCACCTCATGCATTATTAAATTTTGACAATAAAAGTGTGGTAAATAGCCAATTATTTTACAAATCAATTTATACTGGGTATATACGTTGCAATTTTGCAGGACCTTATACCATGACTACAAATTTGATTCCTAGACTTAATCTTGAATTTGATGATATAAAAGAATCATGGGAATTTTGGAATGCATATGGGAGAAGAACTGGCTTTGGTGTTCGAAAGCAGAAGTTTAACAAAACTAAAAATGATAAGTCAATATATTCTTCTTATCTATATGTTTGTAATAAAGAAGGGGTCAGAAAACCAAATAAACGAGATGTGCGAACTAGGAAGCCCAGAGATGAGACAAGAACAGGATGCGAAGCTAGAATGAAAGTTAAGCTGGTAGATGGAAAATACAAAATTATTGAAGTTGTTCTATATCATAATCATCCTCTTCAGCCCCCCAAAGCTGTTCATCTATTTGCATCACATCGAAGGATAACACCGGCTCAACAACATGAATTAGAAACTGCTGAAAAAGCTGGGATTAATCAAAAATTGGCATTCAATTTACAAAGCCAGTATGCAGGAGGTCAAGATAATTTGGGATATACAAGAGATGATGTTAAAAATTATCTTAACTCAAGAAGGCAACGAGCTATGAAATATGGTGATGCTGGATGTATATTTCGTTATTTTGAGCAACAATTGACAGAAAATCCATCCTTTTTCCATGCTTACCAAATGGACTCAGAGGAGCGAGTCACAAATGTGTTTTGGGCTGATGCACGCATGTTGATTGACTATGCTTGCTTTGGAGAAGTAATTTCACTTGATACAACTTATTGCACGAATAGTAATCACAGACCTCTTGCAATTTTCTTTGGCTTTAACCACTACAAAGCAGGGGTGATTTTTGGAGTGGCATTGTTATATGATGAGACCATCGAGACATTTAAATGGCTCTTCGAGACTTTTCTATGTGCACATAAGAATTTAAAGCCTTTAATAGTTTTCACTGACCAAGATGCTGCCATGGCATAAGCATTACAAGAAGTGATGCCAGATGTAAAGCATGCTTTGTGCACGTGGCATATTTCAAGAAATGCAATGAAGCATCTTCCAAATTCAATGGTTAGTGATTTCAACAAGTGCATGTATCATTGTTGGGATGAAATAGAATTTGAAGAAGCTTGGAAAATATTATTATCAAAAGAAAGTATGACAGAAAACTCATGGTTGATATCTATGTACCAGATAAAAGAGAAATGGGCAGCATGTTATATGAAGAACATAAAGACACTTGGTATGAGAAGCACACAAATTAGTGAAAGTGTTAATGCATTTGTTAAAAAATGTACCAATGTTTTATTGGATATCAATCGATTCTTGCATCAATTTGAACAAGTTTTAGAGGAGAAACGCTACAATGAATTGAAAAGTGATTTTGAGGCACGTGACAAGGTGCCAAGATTGATATTGCAGAGTTCATGCATGCTTCATCAACTTTCTGATGTCTATACTCGACCTATTTTTGACTTGTTCCAACACCAATATGATCAATGTGAAGCCACATGTATAAAAGAGAGAAAAGAAAGAAAGAAAAATGAAGATGAGGAGGACAGTGTCATCGTGTTTAATTATGTTATCACCATGTATGATAAGAAAAGGGAGTTTAATTTAACATTTGATCCTTCAACAGAGACGATCAGCTGTAGTTGCAAAAATTTTGAAAGAGTGGGCATATTATGTTGTCACGCATTGAGGGTATTGAATGAACGTGATGTCAAATTACTCCCTCAAAAATATATTGTAAAGAGGTGGACAAGAGAAGCACGATGTAGTGTAGTGTATGATATTAAGGGAAATCAGATTGAAGTTGATCCTAAAATGCAAAGATCAAATCGATATAGACAATTATGCCCCTTGCTTGTTAAATTAGCAAGTGATGCGTCAGAAAGTCCAGAGCCATTCTCTCTTGTCCATGAAGCTGTGTTGGAACTTAGTAAGAAAGTAACTGAGATACATATAAAATATCTTTCAGATGGCAACAATAGTAGCAAGGATCATGTGGAGAATCATGATGGTGATAATGATTGTAGAAAAGTTGTTGGGTTTAAAAAGAGATACGGTAAAAAGACAAGTAAACAGATAAAGAGCTGTGTTGAAACTCGTCCAAAGAAACGAAGAACCTCTAAGAAACCTCTTCAAGCTTCACATTTAGTGAAAACTTCGCAGGTATATTTATGGTCAATTTAATTCTTGATCAATTTAATTTCATATAGAGGCTTCTTATATTTTTATTGTTTCTTTTTGAATATGTTTTAGGGACAAGATAGTCAACTTCAAAAATCTAGCTCATCAACTCAAGTACAACATAATCATATGATGTTGGATAACTCTCAGCCAATTCAAATGACTTTCACAGATTTGTTGACGGTATGTCATATAATGTTGGACAACATAATCAAACTAGTTTCTTTATCTAAGACATGTTAATTGAGACATTCTTCTTATTTCTTGACTGTAGGCATCACTTGACTGCAACATGACTTCCTTTGAAGAACTAGATTTTAGCCAAACATATAATGATGGTAACCATAAAGAATAATGATAATTGAAGGGAAAAATTAGTCACTTTTATTGAAATTTGAATTTTTTACACAGCATTGTCTCATCTGAAGATAATTGACAATTTGAAGCCTCTTGTTACATATTGATTAACAATACAAATTTTGACTATGTTACAAATACAGGTTCAATGATTGACTTAGATCCTCCTGCATGAAGTCTCCATTTCAGCTCTTTTTATCTAGATCGTTTATACAGCATCTAGCTTCTTATGGGCTGCTCTTTTTTTTGGTCAAGCAAGCTCATCCTTTTATACTTCTGGGCTACTCTCTTTTTGGATCAAGAAAGCTCCTCCTTTCATATTTCCGGGCTGCCCTCTTTTTTGTTCAAGCAAGCTCGTTCTTCCAGCATTTTCATGTCTTCTTAACTCATGTAATTTGAGTAGGCTTTATTTTATGATGAAGATTGCTCATCATTTGTGTAATCTGTCATGAAACAATCATAGATGTTATTTGGTATGTAGCAATATTTCTCATAGCATTTTAAACCACTGAGAAGTATAGCATTTGAATAGCAAGATTGATGACCGATTATGATGTTCAGAAATAACAGTCCTCACAAAACGTTAGTTATACTGATCTATAAGCATCAAACATAAAGACAGTTTCATCAACTAAAATTGTGCAAGTATGCTGCTAAGACATGATATTGCAAATAAAAAATGGTGTGTGTCGCAGGTGCATATTGTTGAATGGCTATATCCACAAGACCCATTCCAAATCCAATATTCAATATGTGACCACCTCCTGAACAAATAGCTTTAGCATGAGCCTCCATCAATGGCTTCTCCTAAGCCATCATGACAGCCTTGCTATTAGAGTTCATCAGCTTATCTTCACTAAAACTTACCCTATCTTCCAAATAATCTTGATAAATATTGGCATTTTTACTTTCTCTCCTTATAATTGTGCCCAGGATCAACTTGGCTTGAATGCCTGATTAAATAGAACTTAGTAACTACATGAAAATGACAACAAATACTCAAGACATGATTCGTAGGAATGAAATTGGAAGGAGTCAAAGGATAAGGATTGAAACTTGGTAATCTATTTAGACATAATTAGACTACCTTAGCTAGGAAGGTTCCAAAAATATAAACTAAAATATCACCCAAGAAAACAATTTTAGCAAGCTAAAGCTTGATACCCTACCATCTTATGTTAATTAGTCAAAAAATAACAACCAGCCAAACTTGAAGCCTATATCCTTATTGCTTATATATTATTTTACAATGCCAGTGAAGTAATAACCTACCTCATAAGCCTGATCTCAAAGCATAATATATCTAACATGTTCGCACACAATTAGGCAAACATGTATCCCAGAATTCGCCTTGTTAATTCATCGGTTGTATACAAAGAAGATTCCAAAAGTTAAAAAACATTCTAAATAAAAGCATGACTCATGCTCAATTAGCAATAACATCATATGTATCAAGAGGTTTCAGCTATTTCCTATATCCGAAGACTGCAAACGGATTGCACAAACATTCCAAAATTGATTCCTTGTCAATGAAACCCAGCATAGAGTAAATTATTAAAAATAGAGTAAATTGGGAAAATTAAGGTAGATCGAACAACTGACAGAAGATGAATTAGAACGGAAGTTCCTCGTGACTGAAATAAGGCGCTTAGCTGACTAGAGAGTGAGCACTAGATCAGAGGACCAAGAAGATGCAGAGCCAGTGGACGAAGTAGAAGCATCCGAGTTTCCAGAATCAATGGCGGCCTTCTTTGAGTCCCTAATCTCCTCAAACAAATACATAAGTAAAGAGATCTGATGAACCAGATCAGTGTTGTCCTTCTTGAACATAGCATCGGCTTCAGAGGTAGTAGCAGAAGAGGATCCCCAACTCCACCGTAAATTCCAATAATGTCATGAACTATACCAATGAGCTCCGGAGTGCGATCTCCGGCGACGGCGCTGGCAACTCCAGCGGCCATTGTCACGTTATCCCTCTCTCCTCTCTCGCTTTCGTTGTGTTTGCGTCTGAAGGTAAGAACAGCTGAATAAACCGTCGTCAAGGAAGAGAAACAGAAGTTGATGAACCTACTGAATGACTGAGATGGAGTGAGGAAATGGACGGTTAAGATTGTTAGTGTGAAACAACATCGTCGAAGGTAGTGAATGGGAAGCGAACTAGAAGGAAGTGGAGAGAAACCGATCCCTTACTGAAGCGTCAGTGTATAGAACATACGGTACTCCAAGGGTTGGAAGAGTAAGCACCAGAGCTGTAGTCAACCTGGTCTTCAACTCTTGGAACACTGCTTCACATTTCTCCGTCCAAACAAATGGTTGATCCTTCTTGGTTAACTTAGTCAATGGCATTGCAATCTGAGAAAAGCCTTGAATGAATCTCCAATAGTAGCCAACTAATCCCACAAAACTTCGCACCTCGATTATTGATCTGGGAACCGCCCACTTTAGTACTGCATCTACCTTGTTAGAATCCACTACCACTCCCTAAGCAGATACAGCGTGACCTAAAAAATTTACTTCTTTCAACTAGAACTCACACTTTGATAGTTTAGCATACAACTGATGGTCCCTCAAAATTCGTAGTGCGATGTGGAGATGTTCTTGATGTTCTTCCTCGCTCTTAGAATAAATCAGTATATCATCAATGAACACTACCACAAATTTGTCCAAATAAGGTCGGAAGATCCGATTCATGTAGTCCATAAAGACGGTTGGAGCATTTGTTAGTCTAAAAGGCATCACCAAAAACTCATAGTGCCCATAACGAGTTCAAAAGGCCGTTTTTGGAATGTCCTCTGCCCATATCCTCAGCTGATGGTATCCTAACCTCAGATCAATCTTAGAGAAAACTGATGCTCTAACTAATTGGTCCAACAAGTCGTCGATTTTTAGGTAACAGGTACTTGTTCTTGATTATGACCTTGTTTAATTGTCGGTAGTCAATACACAGCCTCAAGCTACCATCTTTCTTCCTCACAAACAAAACCGGTGATCCCTATGGCAACACACTTGGTCTGATAAATCCCTTTTCCAATAAATCCGACCAATTCTAAAGGAGACATTCTATATGGAGCCTTTGAAATTGGGGTGGTTCCTAGAACCAATTCTATGGAGAACTCTACTTCCCGCTCTGGAGGTAGTCCCGCAACCTCGTCTGGAAACACCTCTGGGTACTCCCTTACCATATCTATTTGCTCAAATTCGCCTGCTTCACTCCTATTGATGGAGAAGAATACAACGAAGGCCTGACACCCCTTCTTCACCGCCTTATCCACTTGTGTAGCTAACAAAAGAACTGGGCCACCAAGCAACTCAGTACATAATGCACCTACCAGAATAGTCACTAAACTCTGTTTACAGTCGAGAATTGCACTATTAGCCATCAACCAATTCATGCCAATAATCACATCAATACCTTTCAAAGGTAGACAAAA